TTAGGGTTTAGGGTTTGGGGGCCTGGCGCCAGGAGCGGCGCGTGTCCAACTCCACTCAAAAGCAGACTCCGAAGCCCAGGCTCAAGAAAGACAGAGAACTCCGAGCTAAACGTCAGACAGCAACAGCGGCCTAAGTGTCTTCAACCCTATAAGCCACCGTAAACCCTCAACCCTAAACCCTAACCGGCCGTGAACACCGGGGAGGGGGGGTGGGAGGGGGTGGGGGATGCTCAGGTTCACAGACCCGCTGGAGGAGCTGAGGTCGGAGGGCTCAGGGTTCCGTGGATTTCGGAGTTTGGGGTTTAGGGTTTAGGGTTTGGGGTTTCGGGTTTAGGGTTTAGGGTAGTTTAGGGTTTAGGGTTTGGGGTTTAGGGGGTTAAGGGCTTACTTAGGGGTAAGGGTTAGGGGTAAACTTTTAACAACACCGAGAGAAGCCGAACTGCAAAGAATTCCGCCGAAAGCCTTAACATCGAGCATCGGCGCCTAGTATAGGGGCCTTGTAATTATGATATAATAAACCCCCAAATCCTGTACTAACTATTAAGGCCCCCATAGTAGGCCCGACCTGGGCTGCTCAAATCCAAGCCCCGGAAAGCCCCTGTGCTTCCGAGATCCCAAACCGTGTTAGTCTGCAGCCCTAAATCCTTTAGAGTCCGGAGAATACTCGCTGTAGGGGTCTAGGGGTTTAGGGTTTAGGGAAGTCTGAGCTGCATGCTTGTAGGGGCCTTAATAGTCAGAATAGGGTTTTTTTTTTGGGGGGGTTCCTTCTTATAGTTATAGTATAGCATACCCCAAACCCTATTCTAATTATTAAGGCCCCTATAGTACATTGCCCAAAGAGGCTTTTGCATGTCCGTCCCAAGCATCGATCGCAGAGTCGCCAAACCTTCTGTCCATCTTCAGCTCAGAGCACAGCCGTTTAGTTTAGGGTTTAGGGTCTAGGGTTTAGGGTTTAGGGTTTAGGGTCCCTAACAATTCATAAGCCGCCCTATAAGCCCTGAACTGAACTCTCAATCCCCACAACCCACCAAACGCTTCGTAAGGTTTCGACGCTAACGACGCTAAACACTGAACGCGCTAATGTAGAAGCTAGAATGCTTGCTGATATTGAATCTACTCAACCCTTAAAGGAGCCCAATTTTAGTTGTTCCGGCCCCGATATGGGTCCTAAACCGTAAACCTGAACAGTTAGGCCCCAAGACCCGAAAGAGATGCGTCTTCCAGGAAGGCTGGGCAGGAGCCGCACATGCAGCTCGCCAGCCGCACTGAGTACTCGGTGCCTCCGCTTGCTTGCGGGGAGTTGTGGAGGGCGGTTCGGCTTGGGGTGTGGGGTTGAGAGTTTTGCCATTTAGGGTGTCGCAGTGTCGCGCGCACACACACAATAAGGGGGCCTTAATTATTAGAATTGGGTTTTGGGGTATATTTTTCTATAATTATAGGAACCCCCACAACCCTATTCTAATTATTATAAGGCCCCTACATCATACATTTTTGAACTTACTAGTAGGTGGGTTCTGCACGCCCATAAAGCCACTTTGCCTGAAGTTCTGAACTCGAGAAATCGAGGCCCCAGGCCAAATGGCGTATTTTCAGCGAGAGAAACACCAAACCCATAATATAAAAGGTACAGTATACAATAGTAGGGTTTAGGGTTTAGGGCTTAGGGTTTAGGGTAATAAGTAATAGATAATATGTAATATGAAACTTACTATCCCGAGCCACCCTCTACAAAGGATCAACATCCTTGCCTGCACCTGCTTCTAAAATGCCCTGGATCCCAAACCCCCAGACTCCCAACCCAAAGTCTTGAACTTCTAAACTCCTAAATTGTTTAACTAGGGTTTACGGTTTAGGGTCTAGGGTTTAAGGTTTAGGGTTCAGGGTTTAGGGTTTAGGGTTTAGGGCTTAGGGTTCCTTAACCCCAAACTCCGAAACCTGAAGCCAAACAAACTGTCTTCTGTCTGGTGCTTAGTAGGGAATGGGGGAATGGGCTATAGGGACTACTACAAGGGATCTTAAGGGACCTTGGTTGAACTTTACAGTCACTTTATAGCTTTAGCACTTTTAAGCTTAACCTTTTTGATACTAGGGGTACTAAAGGTTATAATTTTAGCAAGGTAGTAAAGAGCAACCCAGGGACTATCATAGGGATCCATTCCCCCATTCCCTACTAAGCACTAGACAGTCTTGCTTGGAGGTTCATGGGTAGTTATAAATGGGGTTATAAGTAGCGTAACTATAATTATAACCCAAATTAGGGGCTTATAACCATATTTATAACTACCCATGAACCTCCAAGTGCAGCAGGTCCATGGTGCGGAGCTCTTGAGCGGGTACGCGACCTTCGACGGCGAGGCGCTCTGGGCTCATGTGCCCCTTTTGAGTTAGGGTTTAGGGTTCAGGGGTTTAGGGTTTAGGGTGTTTAGGGTTTAGGGTTTAGGGTTTAGGATTTAGGATTTAGGGTTTAGGGTTTAGGATTCTTTTTTGAAGTTTGTCTCGGGTGGGTTTCCACGCCCGAAGGCAGAAGCTCTCAACCCTCAGCCCTGAATTGATTGAGACCCGTGCGATAGATCCTAAACCCTACAATGGGAGCTAGGATTAGGAGGACCCTTGGGGATATTAGACCCTCTCAATAAGGTCCCTTTTAAGAGAGCCAAAAGTAGGGTACCCCGAATAATACTACCTATACAACCGCTTGAAGCCCTCAAGCCCAAGACCCAAAGGCCCCCAGCCCTTGAATCCCCACGCATCCCCAATCAACCAAAGCTCCACACCCGGAACCCTAAACCCTAAACCCTTAAAAAACCCTAAACTCTAAACCCTAAACCCTAAACCTTAGAAAATCACTTCAACTCTAAACCCCAAAACCTACCAAAGCATCAAAGTCCTAAGGCCGTTTAGAGCCTTGAACCCTAAACCCTTAAACCCTCAAGTTTTGAATCCTCAAACCGCCCAAAGCCCTTAGCCCCAAGCTTCACAGCCCCCTAGGGTCCGAAACGCGAAGACCCAAAGGCCACATCTGAGCATCGGTTTAAGGTTTAGGGTTTAGGGTTTAGGGGATCGGTTTCAGGTTTCGGGTTAGGGCATAGAGGTTCCAAAAAGGCTCCATTAAACTCCCTAAGAGGCCCTTCTTGTCTAATTTACACCGTAGCCTGCTCGATTTTGTCAAGGGCCCCCATCCGCAACCCTGCCAAACCTCACCGAATTCTCTCACACAACTCCTAGAAAAGACCTGTTCTACTTGGAGGTTCATGGGTAGTTCTAAGTAGGGCTATAAGTCCCCTAATATGGGTTATAACTACCCATGAACTTCCAAGTAGAGAAAAGACTTGTTCTAATGTGTCAGGGCCTCAAGCCTAAACCCAAAACCCTCGACCCTCTGGTGAGCTAATGAGACTGCTTTCAAGCAGGTCTTGAAGGTGGGCCAAGCGGTCTCGGCGGTGGTGCTCCCCGGCTTCACTTTTAATTGGCTATGTCTTCCCTTCTTCAAGGGGCTCTTCCTACTGACGCCGTGCATTGAAACCGTATGAAATCCTACAAAGCACACTAAAAAACCACCCCCCAGGGTTTCGGTTTTAAGGACTTGTGCGGCTGCATAATTAATACATCGAGTGGTCTGTTTGGTTGTTGCATACTTGGGCTACGGTTTTGGGCTGGAACCCTAAACCCTAAACCCTAAACCCTAAACCCTAAACCCTAAACCCTAAACCCTAAACCCTGGAGGACATGGCTAGACTTTGGTTCGGGACTCAAAAGCCACAACCACGATAAGCTTCAAGCTC